GCAGGACACAGTTGTCAGATAAGATTCCACATCCTGTCAGAGTGCCGCCCGTTCAGCGTGTGGACTCCCAACGAACCAGGACCAGAACTCTGCGGGTGATGATGACAACACACTCCAGTTTATTGTCATTGATTAACGAGAGCAACAAACCAGAGTGCCTTGTCATCAGACAAATCGGATGAGGACGAGGCGAGCGCTGGCCTCTTTGGTGCCTTGCAGCTGAGTGATCGATCACGCTGTGAAGACTCCAGACAGGAGGCAGCGGAGGAGCGCTGCAGCGGGCTCTCAACTGATTGCCTGTTTACCTTCAACGAGGGAAAGTAACAGCACCATTCAACCTGTTTGTAAAAGCTTTTATTTGTTGTTGTGTAATCTCCATTTACAGATTCAACATAGAAATGAAGAATCTGTACTCAGTGGATGTGATTGTCAGCATGAGGGAAATGCTCTAGTTTCACTTTGTAGTACATTTGCAGTCTGGGCTGTTGACCAATAACTTGTCAGCTGGCTTTGACAGGAGAAACGGTCCGTGTGGAGGCGGAGCGTTATGTCATACCAGCTTCAATCAGCGGTAATCTAACGTTGACTTACCGATCTCTGTAAAAAGATATCTGGATTTAAGTGCAGCTGACAATCCATTTTGGATCAAAACTTTCAACTTGTACCACACATGCGCTTGACGCTGTGTCACGACAGCCAATCAGCGTTTAGATTTCCAGACTACCTGAAAATCATCAGAAGTGTTCAATCAGACCTCCATTCCACAAACAAACATCTTAAAGTAGTTTTCTACTCAACTTGTGGAGAAACCTCAGCTCACATGTTTACTTTTACAAATGTTCAGGGTGCTGGTGGTGATGTGGTTGGTGAGCGCTCCCCATGAACAGAGGCTGTGGTCCTCCAGGTGGGCGGCCCAGGTTTTAGTCCAACCTGTTGCTCCTTTGCCGCTTGTGTTTACCTGATTTCAGACTCTATCCACCGTCCTCTGACTCTGGCCCAAAAAGCCCCCATGCTAACCGCTGGCTTCACTGGAATTACAGAGTTACAGACTCTTCCAATGCAGAGTAGTCTGTTCTGGTCTGTTCACGACGGGGCACCTTCACCACAGTGTCCTCAAACATTTCAAACAGTCAGGATAATGAATGCACGTCCTGGATATTTTCAGAAGTTGATGACCAGGACATCTCTGGTCTAAATGGACATTAAATTAGGCTGATGTCACTCTCTAATCCTGCGTCTCCAGCCTTTAATTCTGTCTGTCCGTACCAATTTCTCATTTTCTGCAACCTTGTCTTCACTTGTAAGCAAAGGACTCCCCCCCCCCCCCTTTACCTCATCCTCCTTTTTTTAATTCCCCTCAGACTGTCCTCGGCCTCAGTGTCTTTCCCTGCACACCGCCCGCCCTTCCTCATTCTGCATGTAGCATGTGGACGAGGAACGGAGAGTGTTTGCATTATTTACAGGGATCTTAACCTGGCATGCTAGCACTCACTCCAGCCCAGAGATTTATTTTTAGATTTTTCTGCCTTTTGCTTATGAGACTTCTAAGAAAAAAATGAAAAAACTTTTATAAATGGAACTGATGTGGCTGTGGAGACTGATGCAAAAAGAACATGTTATGCAATTTGTTCTGGGATAAGAGAGGTAATGCACTAACTTCAGCTCATGTTTGCATCAATAAATAAACACACAAATGGGCAGAGGGCTTTATACATTTTAAACAGCGAATTGCATAAGATTTTCTAATACCAGGCGGCCATGTTTGGGTTCATTTGTGCATATTTGAATGCTCATACAGTTCCAATGCTAATCTATTTGACGTTCCTAATAATAGATTTATAACGATGAAGTCTTGAGTGACTCAAAAGGAGAGGTTTTGCTTATTAAAGACCTTCATTGCCCAAGTTTGATCACTAAAACATGAACAGGGCTTACATTTTTAAAAATAAGTACTTCTGCAGCTAACTTTTGTGAAGTTAAGACAGGAAGTTTGTGCTTTATTTTAGTACTACAGTCAGAACTTGCTGATAAAATGCAAGACTTTATATACAAATGGACAACATGCATCAGCCTCAAAGGACGAAGGTGAAGCCTAAATATCCCGCCGACGTGCGCTGACATTTTGCAAATTTGAAACAAGTAGGTTTGTCAGATTACCAGATTTTTTAATTTATATATGACTCTAGCAAAAATCTAACGATAACGATACCTGTTTGATACCACAACAACAAAAGCAGTCCTCTGACAAACATTGGGCAATATCTTGATTGCCCAATGTTTTCACATTCGTAATCAGAACTGTTAATACATTTTAATAGCATCAAATAACTAATTTAAAAGAAACTTTTTAAGAAAAGTGACTGAAAATTGTATTTGAGGTACCGGTATATGAGGTATATTTTGATTTTATAGTGTGACACATGTCCTATCTGCTAACATGGAGGAGGTGGGGTTTATGACCTGTACTGCAGCCATTCAGCAGAGGGAGCTCTAAATGTTTTAGCTTCACTTGAGGCGAGGTTTTTCCGCTGTCCATTCGGAGTCTTACACAGTGAAAGGGTTATTTTAGGACTGATCCCACTGACACTCCAAACGTCCTTCAGATGTTCTGCAAGTTCCTCGAATGTCCTTTCAGTTGATGCATTTCATAATCCTGCAGCTTGACAGCCCTCAGCTTCTCTGCACTCACTGAACTTTGACTGAACTTTTTAAGTGGCTGTTTGGTTCTGAAGTGCTGCTTAAGTAAGTTTTTGGAGGCTATGAGCGTGCCTATAACATGAATTTCATTGAGTAAATGACGGACACGACTACTTCCATAGCAGAGTGCATGTGTGAGAACAGTTTATGAAAGATGAAAAGGATGGTTTTTATTTCTTACAGCATACTTAAATGAATCATAAGATACTATAATCATCTATGGCTTTGCAATCAATTGTGAATGTTTATCACGAGAACCTGTAACATGTGTGTTTCACATCAGGAGATTTGCCAGCAAGGTGCTGACATCATTTTTTTTTTAAATCACTAACCCTCCTTTGAGCTCATTTTGAGCGAGCACATCACGTCTTTCCGCTGACAGCATTTCACAGCTCAGCCAACAGCCGTGAGACACGTGACAGGTAAAGGTCGGGGGGGGATTGTGGAGTCCAGGGGAATACGGATCAATTGGCTCTCCTTCATTAGCGGCGCCTTATTCTCACTCGGGAGGTTTCTTTCTTAAACTGAGGCACATGTGTGGAGGAGTGCTTTGACTGTGCAGGAAGAAGAAGTGACGCTTCACTTGTTCAAAGCCTTTTGAATGATGATAGGAATATAAGCATCGTAGCTCAGGATCAAATCATCTCTCTCCTTCTGTTTACGCCTAATTTTTCATCATCTTCATGCTGCCTTAACAATCAGTTACAAGAAACCTCCAGTTGTCTGATTTTGAAATTAGGCACTTCAGTACTTTTGATAATGCGTGATTTTAAACGATACAATCTCTGCTACTCTTAAGTATCAGTCAACGGTATTAAGAAGTACCCAAAGCTTTTGAAAAACTACAAACCTCCAGTCATTCAATCAGAAGCTTCAACAGGCAAAAGAGAGAGAGCACTGTCTGAATTGCACAAATATATTGCTAATACATTGCCACCATATTTGGGGCTTTTTGACAGGACTCTCTGTTTTGATAATGTCAACTTAAGCATATGAGACGATACAGTCCGATGGCAGCGGCGTCAGAGATCCGTTGGTAATAGTGCCAGATCACTTCACTTCTTTCACATTTTTAACTAATGTCTCCTGCCACAAAAGAGAGAGAGCACTGTCTGAAGTGTACAAATACGTACTGACATGATGCCATTGTATTTGTGTGATTAAGTCGTGTACAGTAGTTAGCTTGCAATTTTTGGTATAAAAACGTATTTCCAATTAGTTTGCCTAGGACTTCTATTTTTTGGCTCCCCGGTATCCAAACAAGCATTGTTACAAGATCGTGTTTAAGTTTTTAAATCTGGTATCGTAACAAGCCTTGCCTACTCTGATTTAAATTCTGTTCCTTCCTTTCATTAAGATCCTCTAGCTGCTCTCCTTTCATGCTCCTCAGCCTCTCTCTCAGTCAGCTCTTTTCTCCTTCTTTGAAATAATTCATTCATTTCCACATCTCTCTTCTCCTTTGTGGCTCTTTTGTCCCCGACAGGAGCTTTGGATTTAGACTATGAAGATTAAAGATCAAAAGCAGACAGAAGCACCGCTTTCAGTCAGTCGATCCACAATTTATTGCTCGGACTGGAAGAACATGCTGCCGGGCATCTGAAGCTAAAAGCTGTTATTGCATGGTCGGAGTATTTAATTAACTGAACACAGTCCAATATGTACCACAGCTCTAGAGACCTGTTAATTAAGAAAAGAGACGCTCATCCAGAAACCAACGTCTGGCCTTTTACTGCTTCAGACTGACGTGGCTTCACTTTTTCTTCTGACCTTTTTCTTCAGGAAATCTGAAAATGAAGAGTTGGATAAAGATTGAGGGTCGATTAAGGGGCAAGGCAGAAAAGGCTGAAAGTGGAATTTACTAAAACAGCTGCTTTTTACGTCTGTTAATGTGTTATTAAAGAAACTTAGCTTCTGATGTCCAGTAAGAAGCTCCTCTAGTGCTTTTAATCACAACACATATACTAATGAGGTAGATGGTGAAAACCAGGCTGCTCTGAAAATGCGATTCCATCATCAGGCATGTGATCAGGATACAAATTTCACAAAATGTGTGGGGCGCTGGTGGAGGCTGTGGTCCTCCGGGCCTGTGGCTCCTTTCCTTCATGTCTCTCCTAACTCTCTCTCCCTGAGTTCTGACTCTATTCACTGTCCTATCTCTGCATTAAAGGCCCAAAAAGCCAAAAATAAATCTTTAAAAAAACAAAAAAACAAGTGGTGAATCCTCCACTGCAGATTGTTACGATCAGTCCTGTGAGTTTTTCCAAAGTAAACTCAAACTTGTGTGTGTGTTTTTTCTCCTCCAGTACCGGATCGGGCAGCTCTACATGATCAGTAAACACAGCCACGAGCAGAGTGATCGAGGGGAAGGAGTCGAGGTGGTCCAGAATGAACCCTTTGAAGACCCGGCACACGGACAGGGACAGTTCACAGAGAAACGAGTCTACCTCAACAGGTCAGTGGAACTCATCTTTCTAAAGCATTGTCAAACTTGTTTAACGTTTTTAGGTTTGGGTTTTAACCCCCCTAACCCAGAAGAAAAGTGGCATTCTGCTCATCGTCAGTTGAGCGAGATCGGCCATCTGATTATTACTGTGTATTAGTGATGTTTTCTATCACAAGTACTAAAGTATTCCCCCCTCAAGAGCCCCTCCAAACAATCTTCTTCAGTCATTTAAGCACTAGTGAACCGTGACTCTTGTGCCCCTGGTCCCTTAACCCCCCAGCCCTGACAGTTCCCCTCTGCATTTAACACAACTACAACATAGACTGTAAATATTAATGGACGAAGTCTGAGTGACCCATCTGCTCCTGGTGGGGGGCACTGGAGTCCCATCCATGGCGGTCTCCATGCTGGAAATGCTGTCTCAGTCTAACATTCAGTTAACCTAACGACAGGTTGAGAGCTGGAGCTGAGGCGGGTTTAAGGCCTCTTGTTAAACCGTTACACCACGCCCGTGTGTCAGTCAGGTCAGCTACACACCTTATTGTGAATAACTCTTATCCTTCATCAAATCAAAACTGATGAGTCATCAAAACATTCACCCCCCGTACAGTGTGTGCCGAGCGAGTCATGAGCTAATCAGACCTGTTTGGTTTTTTGAACCAGGCTGTAAACATGTTAATCTCTGCTGTAAAAACAGGCTTTTTAGAATGGATGTGTATGTGACTTCCTGTGCTTCTGCAGCCAGCCTCTAGTGGACACTCGAGGAACCGCAGGATTTTGCACAGCCGTATCGGCTTCATTTTTCAACACAGGAGGTTGCTGCTTGGTTGATACAGATCATGTTTTGTGTTGGTTCAAACAAAAAGGACACCTGTAACTCACATCTTTGTCAGGAGTCAGTTCAAGATGAACAGACATTATGAACCCGCAGAGTGACTCAGGGCGGTGCAGAGGTGTAAAACTGCAGCAGAAACCTCCGGACATTTTTTATTTGTATTTTTAAAACGCTGTTTGACTCAGCAGCCGTCCTGAAGGCACTCACTCAGGAAACAAATTTGATTCAAAGCCAAGACTTTTACACACACACAAAGTACACACACATTCAAAGGTGTCCCTTCCAAGCTTACCCATAACTGTTGATCATCCTCACAGACTGATGCATCTCGCTGCGTCCTGTGAGAGCACTGATGCAGCGTGTGTTTGTGGATGTGTGTGTGTGTGTGTGTGTGTGTGTGTGTGTGTGTGTGTGTGTGTGTGTGTGTTTGAAACCTTTCCACACACAGTTTTCTGTTAAACCTGCTTGAATCGAATGAAGATGAGAGAGAAGAGGATGGAGAAATAGTGAAGAGGAAGGAAAAGAACAAAAGAAAACGAAAGCAAGAACAAAAGGAGAAAATCCTAAGGCAGGAGAAGGAGAGTAGAGAAGGGGACTGAGATGCTGCAGGCCATTTGTTCCAGCACAAATACCTGTGTCAGCGTTCGCCATGCTTGGTAACTAATTACGCTGAGTCAGCACAGCTCTGTTCTTGGGAGGAGAGGAGGCAGAGGGAGGAAAACAAAGACAAGTTGAGCCCGCAGTCATGGATTTTCATGAGTATTGCCTTCCTGTTTAGTGTTAAAATCAAGAATAAAAATGGAATGCTTTCTAACAAATGTTCAGAGCTGTGTTTGGAAAATAAAGAGATGGTTTAGAAAAGCAAATCATTTTAAATTGTCCTTGATTATGTACCGTACAATTTGGAATATCGTGAGGGAGAAACGATGATAAAAAGTAGCGCAGCGAGCCTGCTCTGTGGCGCTGTGAAACCCGCGTTATATGCTGCATTTATGTGGTATCAAACACATCGGAAAAACGAGTGTCCGGGTTGTAAAATGCTCATGAACGCCTGGTCAAGTCAGAACAACAACTTGGAAACTCAGAAAAGAATTAGGTGTCCAACTTGCCGACTTGACGTCAGAATGGTCATCACACGGGGGCCAAAATATGTTTTGTTAATGTTAACATTCATTTTATTAAAGGCAGGGTTGGTCATTTTCAAAAACTAGCATGATTCTGAAAGTAGCATTCCCTCAGTGATCCGTCTGCATCCACCCCCTCCCCTCTGTGCTCCATCAACAGCCACGACCTCACTTACATGCACAAGCGCCATTGGTCCAGAAGTGGACCTCAGCTCATGCTTTGAGTGTGGGCTAGTGCTCGCATGGGGGTAGAGAGCGAGCAGGGAGACAGGGAGGCGTTATTGGTTCATCAGATTGGTACCTCGTGGCAGACATTGGTCGAAGTTTTTACAGGCTTACAACTTGTTCCTCTTTCAGATCACATGAAAATGAAAAGTAAAAAACACTTTTAAGCTCACTTCAAACAAAATTCAAAACTGTAATAGTTATATAACGTTCTGTTATATTAAGATTCTCGAGCATAACTAGCCACTGTTTCTGCTTCATTCATCTGGGCGTCCATCTGGCTCTGCAGCGACTCAACATGTAGCTCTGATTCAGCAGCAGAGGATTCAATCTGGACACGTCCTGCCACACTTCAGCCATCCACTCAGTCTGTGCTGTATTTTAGTATTTGGACGATCCCTTTTGACCTGAACACTGATTCCATGTTTGTTCAGTCAAAAACGTTCATACAGAGCTCGGATGGGATAGTTCACTTTATGACTGAATATCGCGTTGCCTCTTTTTTGCATGTATCCAACTTAAGTCCTGAAAACAAACGCTTACTTTGGCATGAAAACTCCAACAGCCACCCACCACCCCAGCACGCTTGGCAACCACAGCCCCCAGCACGCCAGCTTCTGGCAAGGCTTTTCAAAAGACCAGGGAGGGAACGGGAGAAATCAACAGATGGGGGTGTAGGAGGAGGCGTGTCTGTCTCTTTTGTTAGGCTAAAGAGAGAGAGAGCAGGCGAAGGAGTCTGCCAACATTCGCACAATGTGACCGTCCTAGGCTGTTTTTATTCACAGCCGTCACAACGCAGTGGGAGCCATTTTTGTCCCTCTAAAGAAATGTTGTTAAAAAAGTGTTTTCAATGCCAATCAAAGTTTGTAAAGATGATGGCAGGTACAGCTAATGGTTGACGTGTCTCATAGGTACACTTAAACAATGCAACCTCAAATCGTAGTCTCAGCAGAGATCGGAGTTCAAGATGACTGAACGTCAACACAAGCACACTCGTACACAAAGTCCCCTGAGAGCCGAGCTGGCAGCACATTGAACCTCCATGAACAGTGAACACATGGTCAATGATACAAAACATTAAGGATGCCAGAAAGGACTCTTTTTCAAATCCAGGCGCGAGAACAAAAACAAAACTGACATTGAAAATAATCTGTCCATTTCTGACGAGGGTTTGAGGTCTCATTTTATTGTTGTAACAAGGAAGCTACTTCCTGCAGCCGCTGAGGTTAGTGTAAACCTGTTAGCTTTGCTCTGTTCAAAGATTAGCATACAGAGATTTTTAAGTTATACTAAAGGGCTCTTAAGTGACCTAAAACCAAGAAACACTGAGGGCGCACTCACGAGAAAAGTTGTCCTGTACTGTGCTTAAGTACGATTGTCCCCGCTCGCCATTCCCCCGCTGGCCTGCACTCACAAGGCTCCAGGACTAACCGGGTCTGAGCACGGTTACCTGTTTCACAGAACGTCGTAATACAACACATGCATGGCTTTACATGATCATGAAGCATTCTTAGTTTACAAGCAATCTCGAAAATAAAAAACTAAAAGGACGCGCGGTCAAAAATACAGAGAACATGACAGCTACTTTACTGACTTTGTGTCTTATTTAGAGTCATGTTAGTCAGATACAGACAAAGCACTCTCCTGATACAAAAGGCTGTCCACTTTGTGTACCTGTGCTTGTGCTCTGGCATGAAGCACACCTCCAAGCGTGCCAGGGAAAAGGAAGTGTCAGAGCACACACACTAATCAAAGGAAGTGGACCTTAGGGGTGAAGCGTTAGGCACGGTACGGGTGGCCTAGTGTGAGTGCGCCCTAAACGGTCCATAATGCAGCTACTTGACGACTGACACAAAACACGGCTAATATAAGGAAAGTTAAAGAGCAGCACTTGTGTGTCTTTAACGTTCATCTCTACCTTTTTGAGTAACGCTCTGAAACACTATCTGCTACAGAGGAGCTCTTCAGTGACCAGCAGATCAGACTACAGTCACACTCAGTGTTTGAGGAGTGTATGCGTTTCAGAGAGGAGAGTTTTGTGTTCGGCTGGAATTTCAGGAAGACATAAAAAAGTTAGGGTCCTGAGGTTGGTGTTGATTTAGAATTTAAAATGTGTGATCCTCTAAATTTCACACTTTTTTCAAACTGTCCCTTTCTCACCGCCCCTCAGATTCAGTGTTTTATTCTGCTTACAGATTTTCCCTTTAAAAAGGTCGGACACTTTTATTCGTAATTGCCTCGATAATGGGAACAATTTCACCCTCGGCTCTGCTTCACAGATAACACGCTCTCTTCTCTCTTCTCTGTGTCTACGTCTCTCTGCAGTAAATTACCCAGCTGGGCTCGAGCAGTGGTCCCCAAGATCTTCTATGTGACGGAGAAAGCATGGAACTACTACCCTTACACCATAACAGGTGAGACTAAACCTCTTCAGCTCACAGCAAGAAACAGTTAGTGTGATTGTTGTGTAACGCCTAAAATATCTTAGGTTCCAATGATTTATCACTGCGGACACAGGAAGCACAAACTTTTTTAAAGGTCATCTTCTGAACTGGTTTTCAGTTTCCTCTGTCATCACAGAGTTTACTCAGCACTCAACACCTGGTGCAAATGCTTTACTGGATGTTTTTTGAAGACAGTCTGCGTTTTAAAGATGTGTAGAGAAGAGATATTTCTGCCTCCTAGTCGAGGATGTCTAATATCCACTGCATTCTTTTTACACTTAAAAATACCTTTTATCTATTAAAATCAGCGATTAATCAGGACTTTAAAAATGGTTCGTTTCACAGCCGTAATATGAACAAAACTTTTTTAAAAGTGATGATGAATAAATTTTTTCTGAAAAGATCTGAATTCGACATCTCCCCGCTAATCCCGCTGTCATGGAGTGCGGAGAGAGTGAGTGGTGAAGCAAGAGAGGGAGAGAAGGAGGAGGAAAGAGGGAGATGGTGGCCCAATTGAGGGCTGCGGGACTGAAGTGTTTCCACACATAGACGATACTTAAGTGGGCCGTCCAGCTAAATTTATGGCTGCCCGAATATATTTCCGACCTGTTTTTATTTATATTTCAATTCATTCATTTCATTCATGCTGCGTGCGCGCGAGAGAGCTGAGCGGGGAGAGAGAGCGCGTGCGCGAGTGAGTGCAGGCGCGCTCATGGCTCCCTGCAGGAAGAGACGGGAACCAAGAGAGCGAGAGAGAGAGCACTCGCGAGTGTGTGCAGGAGTGGAACTTTTCAAAACGGGAGACATACTCCTGGTGTTTGTGTCTGTGCACGTGCGTGGATCCATTGAACGGATTAAAGTTGTTTATTGCAAAAACAAAATAAATTTAGAGGGTGAAAACACATTTGATATAAATACAAACCTAATATTAAAATATACCCTGAGATAGGAGTAACAAAAAGAAAAAAATTAATATCATTTGTGATGATTACATTGTAATATGTCATTTATTTCACAAGGTTTTACCTTGTAAAACTGTAAGTGATTTAGTTATTGAGTACAAATCAAACCAAGAGTAAGATGAATTAAACCATTACAGTGTTAATATTTGAATGGGCCCCGGGCCACTTTGTACTGGAAAAGTTGGGCCCCGAGGTCAAAAAGGATAAGAACCCCTGGTCTAAATGAAACATCTGTGCTGTGTCAAAATATAACATGAATCAAGCACCAGAGGAGGTTTGTGACCCTGTAGAAACCAGCGGTGAGATAAGATCGGCTTCAAACATTTTTCTATCAAAACATTTTCTTTGATGCTTTAATGTCCCTGATCTACGTCAGAGGTGTTCTAAACTGAGAGATGATAAGATAAGATCATCCTTTATTTATCCCACAATGGGGAAATTTACAACAGATGCACTTGAAAGGGGATAGTAACATGGAGGAGAAAGATGATCTGTGGAATCAGATATGTGACAGCCAATGAAATTCTGTTATTTGAGGTTTAACCACTTACTGTGTTTCTCTCTGTCTCTTCTCGACCTCATCTCTGTGTCACCCAAACACCACATCCTGCAGAATATACAGTAAGTCTCTTTAGTCATGTGCATTTTGTGGCGTTGTGTTTTTTTTGTTTGTTTTGTGAGTGCATGCATCAGAGAAGGCATCATGGCCGTGCAGTGGTTAGTGCAGCGCTGTTTCCTCACAGCGAGGAGGTTCCTGGTTTGAATCTGACAGGAGCCTCTCTGTGTGGAGTCTGCATGTTCTCCCCGTGCATGTGTGGGTTCTCTTCTGGTACTCTGGCTTCCTCCCACAGTCCAAAGACATGCTCGTTAGGTTAACTGCTGACTCTAAATTGCCCGTAGGTGTGAATGTGAGTGTGGCTGGTTGTCTGTCTCTATATGTCAGCCCTGTGATTGACAGGAGAACAGTCCAGACTAATTACTCACGATGCCACGCAGCGGTCAGCCCAACAAAACAAAACACAGGGGATTGTACATTTCAGTAAACTTCTCTTTTGTCTAACACTTTGCATGGCATCGAAAAATAGAAAAATGCACTACCTCAGGATAACAGTAGCATGTTCAGTGTTTCGCTCTTTTAAAAAAGTTAGAGCTGCTTCTGTGACCACATTAACCTTTTAAATCACATGAAGCTTTGGCAGAGTTGGATGACACATTTCTAAGACATACATGAACATGATTAGACTTAGCTGTCAGCCTCCTGTTGTGCAGAGTGATGAACGTCGACACCATGAGTCATTTAGGCTGCGGGGATAAGAGAGGGGAAGACGGCAAAACGCTGAGTATTGTCTGTCACTGTGTGGGAGCGTTTTGTGTTCATGTGTGAATCAGTGTAAATGTGCCGAGATGAGTTTACGTCAAAGACTCACAAAAGCCTTCGCAGTTTTCTCGGCTTTTGTCGATTTTTTGACAAGCAGATAAAAGTGGAAATATGTCACTGAAGCACGAAGCAGAGAGGGAGACCACTGGAACAGAGTGACAGACACTTCCAGAAGCAGCTTTGACAGTCTCACACACACACACACACACACACACACACACACACACACACACACACACACACACACACACACACACACTGGAAGATATAACAGCATGTCCATAACGGGAGAGAGAAATAAGCCTTTGTCTAAACTGACCAAGGATAAGTTGCTGGATATATCTGTTTATTTTTTAGAGATAATCAAAGCTGTGAAACAACAATGAAGTCTGTAAATCACAGCGCTACTGGAGCTCAAAGGATTCTTTGATTAATTAGTTTGAACATCTTTTGTTCTTCTTCCACACAGTGCTCATTCCTGCCAAAGTTCTCCATCCACATAGAGACAAAGTACGAGGACAACAAAGGAAGCAACGACAATGTGAGTAAACACAGAGAGAGAGAGAGAAAGAGAGTGAGACACCAGATCGCACGTCGTTAGTCGTGCAGTTTATCACGGCCTGATCAGCTGCACATCAGGCCGCTGCTCCAGACGGATCATATGAATTTCTGCAATTCACTTAGCAGATGCTTTTATTCAAAGCAACAAACGATCAGCTTTGAGTCCGATTAGACACACGGGTGCTGACAGGAAGCGACCAGAGGCAAAGTATGACATTGACGGCAGTTCTTGGGAGCTCTAATCAGTATAGAAACCATCTTAAAAATGTCGTTATCGGGGCACTGGTGGCGCAGTGGTTAGTGTGCGCGCCCCGTGTATGGAGGCTGTAGTCCTCAAAGCGGGCGGCCCAGGTTCGAATCCAGCCTGTGGCTCCTTTCCTGCATGTCATTCCCGACTCTTTCTCCCTGATTTCCAGCTCTATCCACTGTCCTATCTCTACATTAGAGGCACAAAAAGCCCCAAAAATAAGTATAAAAAAAAAAACCATTGTTATCAAACAAAACCATCATCATCAATAATATTGAAACCATCGTCATCATCATCATTAAGGTCGTAGGTATTCCTGAAAAGGGCTGGGTCTTTAGCTTTTTCTTAAAGGCACAGAGGGACTCTGTAGATCGAATGGAGTTTGGAAGTTCATTCCACCACCGGGGGGCGTCGGGGGAAAAGAGTCTAGTTAGAGACTTAGGACCCTGTTGTGAAGGTTGGATCAGACACCTTTCAGGGAGGGAGTGTAGACCTGGATTATAAAGTTTAGGTAAGGAGGAGCTGTTTTTGTCGATGTTTTGTCATTTCTGGCATGTTCAGTATTTTGTGCCATGAGCCGATGACTCCACGACTTTTCTTCCTGATTGTGCCTGCAATCTGCCCTGCCCAGTTTGAAGAACTTGAAACTATTGGCAGGAATAAGATGATGTTTTTGTTGTTTTTTTATTGTAAACCAGTTAATCTATAAGTTAATTTGACCTCTCATAATTACATTGCTAATGAACTGTGCCCTGCTCTGTAAACAGTCCTTTCTGAGCAGACTTTGGTCTTTGATCATCAAAGTGGAGAGCAAAGCGGTTTGACTGATTTGCAAAAAGTGTGACCCCTTCACGCACTGACTCCTCTTCATGAACAGATATCTGCAAAAGGAAGCAAAGACAAATCAGGCTGAGGATCTCATGTTTCTCCTCCAGCTCCCTCTCTGTGTCTCAGGTTGCTGAACAGCACGATGAGAAGGCGGCCTTTGCACGGATACGATCAGTTATTTGAATATCCACTTGCTACACAGAGAGCCCAGACTTCTTGTTTGTTAACCCTCAAGAGGCTAACTCCCAGTCAAACGGTATCCGACGGTTTCTGCAGTCGGGTATCAGTTTTTCTGCATTTGTCTTATATCAGCCCAGAGTCCCAGTCTGTTAATCATTCAGCCTCTTGTATGAATCCCTCTGCATGCCATGAACACTCTGCCTGTCTTGTGTCCTTTTGTATACAGAAATCTGTGCAGCAAATTAAGCCTATTTAAACACAAGATATCTCATAACAGACATATGGCTGAAAACAAGACCTCTGTGAATAACACGAGTTAAACCATGCGGGCAGATCTGGCAGCTCGCTAACCCTCCCCTGCAATCCCATCGCTTCACAACGCCAAGCATACAATGTGCCTTGAGAGGCTGCCAGAAACGGCTCCACTTTTTGGACAGCTAATTTCATTGGGGCTTTTTGGCCTGTTCACTTTCCTTCCCTCTATATTTCACAACACTCTGCGCTTTATGGGGACATTAGTCATCGAATGAGATGCTGCCACAGCCCGGACAGTGAGGAAGAGGAATGCAAAGGGAGTGTGCGGCGGATTAATGGTCTGAAATGTATCATGGCGAATGACCAGCTCATTAATTTGACTGCAAGTTCATATTTGGCTTCAAACTGTCGGTGATGAAGTGATTGTATGAGAGAGGAGAAGTTTGCTCACATGTCTGATGTTTTCATGTTTGTTTATGAGGACTCATAAGTGAAGAAGCTGACAGAAATGGACGGGCTGTCGGAGTGCGTTACACCAGAAGGGATGTTTGAGATTGATGCTTATTCGCTTTGACGAAACAAGGCATCACAGCATAAATCAACATAAAGCGCCCGCAGCACACACACGTTATCTTTAAAAACATACACAAATGACAGCACTGTGGTATGAAATGTGTTCAGTGTGTGTTTGAACACCAGACGGTGTGTGTGTATGAGCAGAAACACACACACATTCACACACACACACACACACACACACACACACACACACACACACACACACACACACACACACACACACACACACACACACACACACACACACACACACACGCTCACACACAGTGGAGGATTGGATGATGCAGCTGCACGACTTTGTAACATCTTTAGGACAAAAGTTCTGCATGTTTTATGACATTGTGTAAACAAGTCATGAGTGGGTTACGTGCTTTGAAGGATGCTGTAACACCGTATGCATGCGGCCGTGTGCTGCTTTGTTCTGAACATTATTTACAACGACCATCGTCTCCAGCGTGTTCGCACTCGTGTGGATCCTTATAATGCACAACGCCGAAGGAAGGAAGGAAGGAATGGAGGGAGGGAGGGGGAAGTGAAGTGAAGCAGGAAATCATGGCTGTGTGTGAGCGCCGAGAAGACGATCAAACTTGACTATCTAGAGGAAGTAAAAGTCGTAACAAGGTTTCCGTAGGTGAACCTGCGGAAGGATCATTACCGGTTGAGATCCCCGCACCCGAGGCCGCGTGGCCCCTCGGTGCTGGCGGCGGATCGTCACTCAAAAACTCTCCCTGTTACTCTCTAATGTTACTCTTGTAATCTCTCCACGGAGCTTCGGCCTTGCCATCAGGCAGAAGGAGAAGACAATCCGCTTCCCTCGTTTGCTCTTGCTCGTATTTTTTATCAAAGCACTGTTTACATTTTCACCACCATGTGTTGATAATAATAATAACTCTATAAAGCAATATATGAAGTATATTATGGTGCTTTCCATTTGATCCCAGAAGCTACTGGTCTGATCCGTCATCAGGAACTCCCCCTGAAGTCCGATTTCTGACTCAGAACAACTTCAGCAGTCCCAGTTAAAATTCAACATGGCTGCTACGTGCATCAACAGTAACGGTTAAGCTGTAACTATTGTGTTTATTAGCAACTTAGTCACATGACAGTATGGTGCAGGTTCTAACTGTGGACATGTTGTCATGTTATTTTCACTTGTTAATTAACAGGTAGTGTGTTGTTATTGTCGGGTATTAGATAACAAAACAAAGGTACTGTTGGGGGCGTCCACGTTGCATGTCAGACTTGCAACTAGAACGTGGTTACCCAATTGTGATGTCATTCCCAGCTCCCTGATCTAAGGTACATGGAAAGCATCATTCATTCAAACCTGGTGAAGAAGTATGCAATACGGAACACAGATCAAAAAAGTCAGCAGAAGAAACTCTTCCGTTTTGATTTGATGAAGGATAAGAGTTATTCACAATAAGGCGTGTAGCTGGCATGATTGACAGGTGGGCGCGGTGTAACGGTTTATCAGAAGACTTAAAACCCGCCTCAGCTCCAGCTCTCAGTCTGTCGTTAGGGTGAGACAGCACTCTTCTTCAGCTACTGAAGTTGAAAAACAGAAGCTAATAGCGCCCCCTGCTGGTTAAAACGAGTCTGAATATATATTTTTCCCCCATTGATTTAAATTGTCCACATTTGTGATTTTTATTTTTATTTTTATTTTTTTATTGAATTGAAAGATATTGTTACATGCTTAGTATCTATTCATTCAATAATTTCCAATTAGTCCTTCCTGTAACTTGAATATGAACATTTCACGTCCACGTTTTTATTCCAATAACGGTTGGATTGTCTCTCTCCTGAATGAGATCAGCTAGTTGTGAGTCTATTCTCCCCGTTGAACATAATGAAGTGCAATCCAATTTATTTCTCTCTCTAGCCTTCAGAGGCTCTGGCTGCGTTGTTGTTGTTTGTTCACACTTTACAGTGGAACACAGACAACAGCAAGCGTACAAGCAAATGCTGGTATAAACACTAGAACACTCCGAGTTCGAGTGTCTGACACCGAGCTACTCAGGGGATGAAGAGTTTGAGGTCGTCTACATTGATATGTGAGCAGCGAACCTGCTAGATATTTTTGATTTTGGAGACTTTCACAATTAAACACACAGTTTCTCATGAAAGTCCTGCTGGAGGGTTTCAGTTTCAGTGAAGCATGATCCTCTTTAGATCGTTGACATCTCTGTTTAAAATCCTTCAATACAGATCCAAGACACATGCGAGTAATTAGCACACTCATGGATTACCATTATGCAAACTAATGCAAACATGCTTGTTGCATTTCCTCTCTTCTCTGATTACACAAATCCATCTTCCCCTCCTTTTGTATCGCCTGTCCCCCTGTCATCCTCCATTTTTGTTCCCTACCCCTCCACTCTTCCCCCTCCTCCTTTCCTTTCCTCTTTCTGCTTCCCTCCACCACCTCCTATATTTATAATTGTCTACCTCCTCCTCTCCTCCACCTCTGTCTCTGTCCTTCTCCCTTCACCCTGGTCTCCATTCCGGTTGCTTGAATGCACACGTGCATGCCGACACATCACCCTTAATGTGCGGGCAGAGCTTGGGCCAAACTGTGAACGAGTGAATGCACCCTCGGAGGGGAGGCGGGAAATAGAGCAAGAAAATGAGACAGAGACAGAAAACAAGGTTAAGAGATGCACTAATTTGCAGAGAGAGAATGGAAATGAACAGATTTGTAATACAAAAAATTTGCTTTTTTCCGAAAATTCACTGAGCAGATGCTAATTTTTATCCGAATTGTGAAGTGAAGATTTTTCTTTTTTTATCAAAATCGTCTACCCAAATAAATATGATTCCAGACCTAAAAAATAACAGATTTAGGAATTTGGTTGCAAGGAGAGAGTCATACGTACTTAATAAAACACAGAACATACAAGTGCAAATTCATGCTACCTGGGTAAAAATGAGGAGGGGCACAGATTCCAGTTGATCTGTAAAAGTTACAGAGCCTAGAAATATAAGATAAAATACTGAATAAATGAACCATTAAGAAGCAAGACATCATGTTCCCAGCCGAGTATCTCTGCCTGCCATACAAGACCTTCGTGAACTTACCAACAACCACATGAAGCAGCAAAGAGGAGAAAGATAGACTTCTGTTTTTCACTCCGTGTAAATTAACTCTGACTTAAAATGCACACACAGACTTTCCCTTTCAGCTTCACAGCGTTCACTGCACTGAGGGGATGCTCACATGCTCACATGAGAAAGTGTGTGTGTGTGTGTGTGTGTGTGTGTGTGTGTGTGTGTGTGTGTGTGTGTGTGTGTGTGTGTGTGTGTGTGTGTGTGTGTGTGTGTGTGTGTGTGTGTGTGTCTGTGTGTGTCTGTGTGTGTGTGTGTGTGTGTGCTCTGAGGGAGATAACGAGGCTGCCCTCACTCCTGTCTGCCTTAAACACATGATGCATTTGTACTCTTATACAGACTCAGAGCGCCACCTAATGGTTTTTCAGGGAAGTTGTAAATGTATTTCTGGAGTTTGGCTGAGTGAAGAGTCAGACATACACACAGCTGTTCCAGTCGAATACTAGACGATATAACCTCATGGGGACGTTTCCCTGAGTAGCAGCCGAGGCTTCACTTAGTCTTTTTTTTTTTAAACCTCTTCTTTCTGTTTTTAGATCTTTGACACAGAGCTGAAGGAGCAGGAGAGGGAGGTGTGTTTCGTCGACATCGCCTACGACGAGATCCCCGAGCGCTACTATAAAGACTCTGAGGTGAGTGTGTGTGTGTGTGTGTGTGTGTGACTCTGACTCTGAAGTGTGAGTGTGAGTGTGTGTGTGTGTGTGTGTGTGTGTGTGTTGATGGAGTTAACACCAGTGGAGGTGTGAGTTGTGTTGAAGAAGCCTGAAATGCAGGAATGAAACGAACGGTGAATATGGATTAACCGTTTCATTTCAGTGTCTGATGTATTCTTCGTCTATGTTGTTTAATACACTCTGACGTTCAGCGGAAAAGGTTTTTTATCCTTATGAGCCTCTAAGAGAATAAAACTTGATTAATGGTATTATTTTCAAATGTGTTTATTGAAGCACTAACTCTCACTTTAACAGACTTCAGGGACTCATGAGCTAATTGGCGAGTGGGTTTTGTGGTTATTGTGTGTTCATTGTCATGTTGAATGTGTGTGTGTGTGTTCACGGCAGGACTTGAGATATTTCAAGTCGGAGAAGACTTCGCGGGGGATTCTTCAGGAGGGCTGGAGGGACACGCAGGATCCCATCATGTGCTCGTACAAACTGGTCACCGTCAAGTTTGAGGTGTGGGGTCTGCAGACGCGTGTGGAGCAGTTCGTACACAAGGTCAGAGTTCACGCATGGGCGCAATGTTTGGTCTTGAACTGGAAAGTAACTGTGCATGTACGTGGGTCACGGCATGACAAAAGAAATGTGGCTTGATTCAATTATTTAATTCAATTCAATTTTATTTGTATAGCGTCAACTCATAACAAGTGTTATCTCAAGACACTTTACAAAAAGCAGGTAAAGTACCTTACTCTTTGTCTGTTAACATTACAAAAGAGCAGGTAAAAAGACCTTACTTATTGTTATGTTACAAAAAGCAGGTAAAAGACCTTACTCATTGCTATATTACAAAGACCCGGCCTATCCATCATGAGCACTTTAGCAAAGCAGCAAAAGTTACAGTGGTAAGAACTGATGAACTTTTTCCTGACCGTCATTGTGTCCTGCTATAGGTTGTTCGGGATGTGTTGCTGCTGGGACACAGACAGGCGTTTGCCTGGGTGGATGAGTGGATTGGTAGGTCCATCAGCACTTTGTTTGAGCTATCATAACTAACATAAATCATTGTCTTGTGATATCTGTTTGCTTACCACTCAGTGTGCATGAAGAGTCACTCCACCTGCATCTCTTCTTCTGTCACCTTCTAGTCCTGCTTGTTCTCCTTTAGCATGGATTCTCCTTTTTGGTATTCTCACACCTTAATGACAAACACTGAGGCCAGACATGGTCAGTGTTTGAGTCACATTGAACCTGCACTGCTACAAATATCCAGGCCCAGTTCTAGAACAAAATGACTTAAACAGTGCATCTGAGATTAAAGGGGGGGAAGCAACTTCAGCGACCGGCAACAACAATGGAAAATAGCATAGGTGTCATGGGTCCTGCATGTTGTCCCCTGTGAACAGACGGGTCACATGCACCTCATAACCATCAGATCACGATGTAGTAAACACAATCTGAGTCCCTTTTCCACCCTTTTAGAACTGGGCCTGCAACTATCCACTAAACCGCACTTTTCAAAGTTGAATGTTGAAAAGATACTTATACAGCTCTGGAAAAAGTTAAGAGGACACTCCAAATGTCTCTACATGCAGGAAACCATTCTCTTCAAATGTCAACACATGCACGCCTTTTTCTACTTACTGAGGTACTGATTTGTTTTTTATCTGACAAGCCATGGAACAAAGCTGAGCTCCTCCAATAGTGGCATAAAGTCACCCAACAACAAAGTGAAAGACAGGTGGAGAGCATGCCAAGAAGCATGGAAGCTGCAGTTAAACATCAGAGTTATTCCACCAAGTATTAACTTCTGAGGTCTCCCTCAGGGAAAACATCCATATTCTGTCATCTAAAAATTAATATGAACGTGTTTCCCATTCCATTAGACTGAAAAATATGGCACCTTTTTGAATCTTAACTAGCTGTGATAGATCCAAATGAGGATATTTGAATTGGAAGTTGGGAGAATTGTTGTTTATAGTAAAACAAAAATGTTAATTTTACTCTTGCAGGGTTCTCTTAATGTTTCCAGAGCTGTTTATCAGTTTATTAAGAGAGAGTAGTAACAGGTTAAGCATTTGAATACTTTTCCATGACAGAAAAGCCAAATCTCAAGTATGAAAAATGTCTTTAATGCTTACCAGAGCTTTGTTTATTGCCTAAATCACCAAAAACAGCTTGAAGATATTGTGGAATAATGAGAAATTCACACCAGAAAATCAGACTCAGAATCAGATCTGCCAGGTATGCTTACACACACAAGGAATTTAACTTTGGTGAACTGTGCTCTCATATGTACAGGTGCAACGAAATATCTTCTCACTGAAGCTCAGGAAGCAGACCCCTGTGCAGCCACAGTTGTAACTCATTTAATGACTTTCAACTGTTGAGCTTTTTTCCATAGCTTCAGGGCATGAACACAAAACGCTGTTATCTTTATTCCCCTTCTCTCTGCAACCACTAACCTTCTTATCACAAATCCCTCCAGCCTGGAAGCTTCAAAACACGCCCTCGGTCTTTCCACATACGAAAATGATTTTCTTTCTTTTGCTTCCAAAGATCCAACCTATTCCTTGGGTGTGGATTGTTAATCTTTCTCCCTTGTCTTGAAATATCCTTGAGCTTTATACCTTGTTTCCTCCCTTTTTCCTGCTGTGGCTCTGATCTGTGCAGCTGTCCTGTGCACTCTCTTGGTCATGCAAAGAAAGCACCTTGACCTTTTAAAGCGCTGTATTCATTTGTTACAACCCCTTATTTACTTACCCATCGAATGCACACTGGCCACCTAACCCTCGCTGTCTCTTACTTTCTGTCAACCGGAGTACCATGACAGAGACATTACCAACATTTTGACCCCTGGTTCCACCCCTCCCCCCTTCTTCCAGATATGACTTTGGATGACGTGCGGGATTACGAGAAACAAATGCATGAGAAAACCAACATTAAAGTTTGCCATGAGCAGCAAGAGCATTCCACAACAAACCCATCTTCACTGGATGACATAGAGATCCATGACAAAGCAAGCGTATGTCTTTTTTCATTGTTTCTTTACTCCATTGCTGTCCTGTACCTCACATTTTGACTTGGTGACTGTGAAAGAAGTTGTTGTGGTAGCATTTAACTGTTCATGTACGTCCATTCATTCTGTCCCTCGTTGATCCTTACAATGCATCGGTTAACTCTGTAGAGTATAGGCATTGAAGTCTACCAAAATAACCCACAGGTTTAAAAAAGGTGTCTCAGAAACACAAGGTAGCACACATGTAAACATGTAGAAACATCTCGGCTGTTAAACCGACCCAATCAAGGCTGTTAAAGAGTATGCATTTTGCACTGAGTTCAAGCTAGAGGTGCAAAATGCCGGTGACCGGCCGGTCGATTGGTTTTTCAACCCATTTCGACCCATTTTTCAACCTGTTTTAGAGAAATCTGTGACCGGCGAGTCCTCTCAAACATATCAGAGTCCATGTCGATCTCAGATTAACAAACGCTTTGGTTACAGTTGGACACTTAAATGGTCAAAGTTAAGCTATGTGAGCCGAGTGATTAAAAAATTGACCTCCCGTGACACAAAGAGATAGAGACCAGTGGCGGCTAATGCAATGTTTCCCCAATTTCTTTCAGATGTAATGGGATAACTTAGTTTGTTAGCTTGATGCTAACACATACTGGAAAGTGCAATTTACTGGCTAACAGCATTAGCATCGTGATAAGCTTAGCCTAGGAAACAATATGTTATATTTAACATACTGAACAAACAACACCATATGCACTCGTACTTACATGCGTATGTTTCATAAACAGGAACTTAAGCAAACTGCTGACTTATGCTAGTCTGTTCTGCTGCTCTGATCCATTTATATAAACAGTCAATGCTCTGATCCAGTGACACTGCTTGACTCGCTATTTATTTCTCAGTTCATTGGATGTATCCCTCTGCTGCTACTTTTGGTGGTGGTGTGTAATGCATCATGAGCTCATTTTCTAGTGCCCAGAGAAGCTCCTCTCTCACCTATCATAGAGGAGCAAATGTGCAACTTCTAACACGAGTCATTGGAGACCCAGGGTCTCGCACCCGGAATAACATTTCAAAACTAAATTTTTATTTCAGATTATAGATTTTACTCAATAAAAACATATTATTTACCTCGCCCTATAAAAATTGTAGATGTAAGCGTTGGCCTTTATTGAAAACTGATTTTGAATAATATTATTCAGTGAAGGTCTCTCATCCTTCTTGTGGGGAGTGGATGGGCGGCGCCCTAGCCCCCTCTATTGACCAGCCGCCACTGATGGAGACACAAAAGATTTCAGTTATTAATTCAGAGCAGATACACATTTGTCATATTATTATTGGTATACATATGGCCTCAATAATGAAATGAATTTATGACAATGATCAACCCCAAAAGTTTCTATTGAGACAAAATCCTTTCCGGCTTCTTCCTCTGATTAGTCTCAATTGGTCTCTTTCCGATCCAGACATGACGATGGATGAGGTGAGAGAGTTTGAGCGCACCATCCAGGAGGCCACCAACCAGAAGATCGGGATGTTTCCCCCGTCGATCTCCATCAGCGAGACGCCCCTGTCCTCCTGTGCCCTCACCGGCCCCGCCAGCGCCCCCACCACCCCTATGTGCACTGATGCTCCTGAGTCCCTCTCTGTCCCCAAGGACCGACCACGCAAGAAATCTGCCCCAGAAACCCTGACCCTTCCCGACCCTGCCAAAAGTGGGGTCCCGCAGAGCTCTAAGCTGAGCCCACTTCCAGATTCCAACCATCTCCAGTCATCGCCGACGCCGTCCTCCAACTCTGATCTTACTGAGATGGATGAGCAGTAGAAGGACCTTGGGATGTCTTCCCCCACCCCCTTCTTTACTTATATTCCTGTAGCCTAACCTCCAAACACCAGTGCCCGGACGTTGAAGTTCTCTGGCCATATCAAATGATTTAACATAATCCTGGACACAATAATCAATCTTTATCAGTGCCATTAACACCATCCAGGCAGCTGTAGGCTCCACCTCCCTGACAGGGCTGACCTCTTCCCAACTATTTCAACAACCACCTTAATGTTCAATCCAAACAAAGATATGCCATATCTTTTGTATTTTGGGTGAGAGGCAGTTTCTTATATTGTTTGAATAAATTATGTATTGCATTAGCTTAGCTTTGTTGGCTTTGATCAGATGAGCAGACACCCTACTATCTGTTAAACTATGAATCAGTTGCCTTATCACCACAGAGCCAGTGTTTTTTTTTCTAGTTTTGTTGAAGTGCGCAAATAAAAACAGATTTTTTTTAAATTAGAGGTTAAATCCAGATTAGCACAGTAGACATTAAGATTTAGAGCAACACTTAGCAGAGTGACAGTCAAGTGCCCTCATAACAGGAGAGTTTCCTGAGCGGTCCAAACTGGCCAGCAGATTGGATCGCACCCAACCTTTCCATCACAAACCCCAACAACAAAGCAGATGCAAGATGAGTACAATCACAGAGAGTTTACTCCTCAGGTCTCCCCATCTTTTCCCAACTCGCTCTCCAAAGGCAGGGATATAACCGTACCTTTCTGCTCCTTCTTATTGCCGAACAGCCGCATTTAATACCTCCACAAACTACAACACAGCACCTGATGTATGTACTCTACCAGTCTACTTAACCCTAGGAATGTTTACACATCCCGAACCTTGGAGCGTTTGTGTATTTTAGCATGACAATTTAATGATTCCTAAACTTAAATCTGTCAAAGTTGCACTGCATATATCTTGTTCAAGCCAACCAAGAGGTCAGTATGATTACAAAAAACAAATTCAAATGTTGCCTGAAATTAATGCTGGACATCACATGTGACATGAAGGTGATCAATATTACCAAATCAGCAAATCACTTTGATGTCATATGTAGGAAAAAAAGGCCATTTTGGTGAGTTTTGAAGCACCTACTGATCTTTGTGCACAGAGGCGGTCGTACAAATTCAAAGCCTGATTTGAGGAGAGGGGCACGTGCATCAAGCTGACTTGAGTATGTGCCGGGATGCATAACGTTTACTGATGTGCTGATGCCTTTGCTTTGCCTGTACTGGTGGGTAATACTGAGCCAGTGCTTTGGTTTGCAGGGATATTGAAACACAGTGACCCAATATTTTTTACTGGGCCTGTGCTGCAAGTTATCAAGTAAGAAAGAGAAACAAATACATGAAGACAACAAGTTATTCTTTGAGACCTGTTACGATGCAAAGATATGATTCAAGGAGGGTTTAATATGCTGCATGTATTATTCACAGCATATATACATGTTATGTAAAGTATATATGTATATACTGTAAATGAATGGATCGGTAACGTTTATTCTGTGATGCAACTGTATGAAAAAGTGAATGCCAACATTGGAAGCTCTGTACTAATTTTGTATAGTAGAAAACTCAGATTGTGAGTGAGAGCGAAGCATGTCCAGAGAATATAGGCCGACAAAGTCTCGCAACTCAGTGCCTCTGCATGCTAACTCTTATCATCGCCTACCAGTGTGTAAACCAAAACCTCTGATTGTCTTATTATCTCCACAAACACAAAACAACCGTTTCTTTGCCTGTTTTATATTTGCGCTTACGCATTTAACGGAGAATTAAAAACAGCTAAAGCACAAAACTAAAACCCGATTTCCCTGAAAAGTTGGGATGTTGTGTAAAATGTAAATAAAAACAGAGTGTGATCATCTGCAAAATGTTAAAACCCCATATTGATCTAAAAAATAGGCCAAAGACAACATGTCAAATGTTGAAACGGAGACATTTCTCCTTTTTTGGGAAAATTAAACACTCATTGAATTTGATGCCAGCTGAATGTTTTTAAAAAAAGTAAGGACATGGGTCATGTTTACTGCTGTGCTGTATCACTTTGTCTTTCAATAGAACTTTAGAAGAGGAACTGAGGAGACCAGATTCTGAAATTCTGAGAGTGGAATTTTTACCATTCTCTGTCACCTAGTGTTTAAAATGGGTACTGCAGTCCAAATTCTAAAAATTGTTGAGAGCTGTGTCCCCCCGCCCCCTCCGCTCTAGAGTTGATGCTCACACAGGTTGCCATGTGGTGGACACTGAAGCTTCAGTGTTTAGCCAGCTCTGCATCGGTCTGTAAACCTTTCTGCGTTCTAACCTCTCTCCATTTTTCAAAAGCATCTCCAATATTGATCCTGGTTTGAGCACGTTTCTGCTCGTGCAGCTTATTAGAAACATGCAGAGGCTTTTTAGGTCGGGTACAATCACTTCTATCTGAACCAGTTCTCTTGCCCGCTTCCATCGCTGCAACACCTGTTGGTTTGACCTGATAACTGCTCTCATATCTGACAAACCGAGGGGCGTCCAAAACGGCCGTGTGGGGGGGCCTTAAAACCGCCTACCTTCTCTGGTGCAAACAAATCCAGAGCATTCAGGACCAGAATCTAAAGTTAGATCCTGAGGCCATGCAGTGGCATCCACTACAGAGTTAGGTCTGTTTTTAATGCAGGACCATCTGATCATCACGGCCGCCCAATTTATGTTTTCTGCTTTGTCCCTCAGAAAAGATTCAGAGAATCTGAAAGGAATCTCTGTGAGGTAAAGATGGGGAGGGGTTCAGTACTCAGCCTCTCTGAGAAGCTGATTTTAAAACCCAGTCATGTTTCTGACCTTTCCCCGTCTTTTGTTACGACTGTCCCAACCTTTTTTGAAACATGTTGGCAGCAAACCCAACGTGGACGTAATTTTCAAATACATTTGAGTCTTAAAATTTAACAATGTCGTTTTTGTGCCGTTTTCAGTCAAATATTGAGTTTCAATAATTTGCTTATTATCACACCCTGTGTCTATTTACTACAACTCAATGTCCCCACTTTTAAGGACATGTAGTATGTGCATCATCAGAACCAACTCAGTATATTTGCAGAAATCTGTAGTCTTCTATTTTTCCATTCCCATTATTTCTGAGTTAACAGCGCAGACGCATTAGTGCACTTTCCAGTCTTCGACGCGTTACTAAACAATGACGTTATATCACAGTCTTTTTCGGTTTGTCGGACCAAAGTCCTTCAATACAGCAGAGTGTTTATGAAGAGATTTAACCAAGGACAGTCCTCCGGGGTCTTGCCATAAAACAAACAAACTGTTAATATAATGTACAGTTTCTCACTCGCTTTTGTTAAAAAAACAAAACTGTAGCTATTTATCTGTAACTGTAGCTTCTGTCTTTTGCCTTTTGATGATCACAAATGTTCTGTTCAAGTTCTGGGCCCTCCGTTTGGATAAAGCTTATACATACGTACAGCTCTGGGGATGACCATCTCTCTTGTCAGGAACACAGAGATCCAGGGATGCTATCGATCCATCGATCGGCTGTTAAACATACAAATGCAAAACGTCCACTCGCTCTGTTTAAAAGAGTGACATATTAGGTATTGTAAATACTGTTGTTAAGTTTCTTACATTGACATGAATGTGCTCAAAGATTTCAGACCATGAAGGATATGCTGTCGTGTGTTTGAAGGATGACTTCTTCACAGACTCACATGAAGGTTTCTTGAAATCCTGCATGTGTGTGTGTATCAGTGAAGTCCTTTATGGAGGAGATCCAATTCAGTATCATGATTCCTCATTGTAGTGCTGCAATTTTGCGTTGCTTTCGGTTGACCTTGCAGAAGTTGTAAATCAAAATGAAGCATTTCTTTTTTTTTGGTGGGGTGGCTGCTTTGACGTTTACTTGCTTTTCCTTCTTTTGAATTGTAATCCTGCTGTAATTTGATTTTGTGGTTGCTGTATCGTTTGAAGGAAGATCTAAATCTGTTTATCTTTGTTGCTTTTGAGAAGCGGACCAATTGTTTCCCTCCTCCCGGTGCACTTTGCATTCAACTTGTCGTGTTGTTCTCCTGGAGCCTGTTGCACAAAACCAGGATCCCTGAGTTAGCTGCAGAAGTGCGTCGAGTGAACAAGGAGAATCTCTGTGTGCATCACTCTGTGCTGGAGATCAGCTGGGACTCTGCAGTCCTGAGTCATCCTGCAGCGTGAAACAGGCCCCAGGAGAGCCGTTCCTGTTCGACTGCTGGAAGTCACTCGTAGTTCTTCCTCTTTAACTTTTATTGTATTTGATATATTTTTATTGCCCTTTGAGGTTCTTTTGGTTCTCTGTTGTAACTTTACGTTTCTTCTGAAATAGACAAATAAACTTTACTAGCTATTGAAACAGTGTTAAGATTATTTCTCTGCACCACACATCCAACTCTGTCACTTTGTTTATGTTTTAAACGGAAGCCCTAAGCGGTCACACATTCATACATTTTGTAATGTCTACCAAAAATAATGGAGTTAATTTTAATTGTTCTCTTGAGATCTTGATTTATTTATGTTATCTCGAGAAAATAACGCTGGCTTGTCTTTGATAAGAGATCTCGAGTAAACTGCTGAAACGACTCATTATCACAATACCACTTTATGTCCCTTGCTTTTTGACTGAAACCAGATGAAACCAGTTACTTTCATCTAGAAGAGTATTACTCCGCTGCTAGAGTGTCTGCCATCACATTTGAATTGGCATGCAATTAATCTTGGGATATGTTGATACATCAGATGGACCCTTGACCCAGAAAAACTAGGATGCTTCTTTTTTTTTTTTTAAAAGATAGTTTCAGGGCCATTTTTGCTTACAGGACAGCTGAAGAGAGACAGGAAATGCTGGAATGAATGAGCGGGGGATGACATGCAGTAGTGGGCCGCATCTGGATTTGAACCCATTGCTGCTGCAGCGAGGACTACAACCTCTGCACATGGGAGGCACGACATAATCCGATTATCCATTACCCCAAAACTAGGATGCATTTTTTAGCCACATTTGAAGGAAGCTTCCCCCTGACACAGTCATCAGAATCAGAGATCTTTTATTAATTTCGGGGAGATTTGGGTGTTACAGTCTCTCTTACACACAATATCACAGTATGCATAGGAGGTAGAGTCTTCAGTTATCAGGCCCCTCTCCTCTGGAATCATCTGCCAGTCAGGGCCCGGGAGGAAGACACACTCTGTACTTTTAAGAATAGACTTCAAACTTTCCTTTTTGATAAATCTTATAGTTAGGGCTGGTGCTGGTGTAGACCAGCTCCTAATTATGCTGCTATAGGCTTAGACTACCGGGGGAACTGGCACCTTGAGCTATTAAAGGATTACAGTATCTCTCTCTCTCTCTCTCTCTCTCTCTCTTTGTGAGATCATATTACTGCATGTCACTATCTGGAAATCTCAGTTACTAACCACATCTTTCCCTGGGAGCTCCTGAGCTGTCTTGGGTTCCTCGGGATCGTTGGTGGACGGCCTGCCTGAACACACATGCAGGGAATTTTGTGCACGTTTGAAAACACCAGAAGGTTTCCAGTTGGAAAAATTAATTCCTTTTGATTTTCTTTTTTATTGGTGAATGAGAGGCTGGATGACTTTCTGTTTCGTTTACTCTGGCATCCAGAGGCCATTTCTGCTTCAGGTTAGTGTCACCACTCAGCTATGATCGCTGAGAATAATCTTCACACCTCAATCTTTTAAATACTCTTTAATGTAATGAAACACCCAAAACACAAAGAAGGTAAAAAAATGCATGAAGGGATGATTGTTAACTGAGATATCATATAAACCTGATGATTTAAATCAAAGCCATAACACCTGCGATAGGAGTAACCAGATTTTTTTTGCAACATCCATGTATCTTCTTTACTTCCAGAGGAGAGAAACCACAACACAGATCAGTAGACAGTGTGAAGTGCTCAAAGTGTGCCCTCTAGAGGACGTTGTGCTAACTGCAGCTGGAGTCACAGAAGCAGCAGTTGTCACAGGAGCAGCAGTGATAGCAGTGGCTCTAGCCTGTCCCACACACGTCCCCACATTTCCCTCTCTGTCCACAGCATTCAGCTCTACATTCTGTGAACAGCAGGAGGCGCTGTAGTTAACCACTGTAACATTCTCACCCCCTGCTCCGGTCGCCGAGCTGGTATTGAGGGTACCGTTTCCTTTGCGGATGGTGATGCTGTCGACGCCGGTTCCATTGATGCCGTCGGTGAGGTTGGCGATGAATTCCCATTGTGAAGTAGCGCAGAGCGCCGCAGAGGACGGACAGATGCCTGATGTACTGACTTCCTGGCACACTGGGCGGTTAACGTCTGTAACCTGCGGACACAGAAACAGAATACTAGGGATTCAAGATTAAAGCTCCTGTGAGAGGAACTTTCACCTTCAGTGCATTTATTGGTCTTAAACGAGCACCACATTTTTCCATAGTTTTAATTTGATGAGCATTCAGTACTAATTCATCTCTGGTTACCTTGGCAGCCACAGACAGCCTGATGAGTGCGTAGTTGGTGTCGGTAGCCGCTGCATTCTCTGCCACGATGGTCAGGGTCACGTCTGTTCCTGATGCAGCGTCGCCTGGTATTGTCAGAGTCACCGTGCCGTTGGCTTTGCCTCCGCTGCCCTCAGTTATACTAACTGTGCTAGGTGACGTCGAGGTGAAGCTGCGGTCGTTGTTGGCTCGCACTGTGAACGTCCCACTTGCAGAGTCGTTGACAACTCCATTGGTGGTTGTGGCGACTGTGAACGGGATGGAGATGGAGGAGCCTGGTTCTACGTTGGTGTTGTTGG